CTCCTTGCTTAGTACAAGGTACTCTCCTATATTGCACGGGTACAATACCGGCTTTGTACTCAGCAATTGTAACAAACATGGGTTGTGTCAAGTCAAAGTGTTGCAACGAAGGATTGCACCATGCCTCGGGACCACTAGAAGGTGGACATAAGTTGGTGGCCGTGACCTTAATCGTGCCAGCACCGTCTTTGCACCATTTTGAGTTGGTACATTTGATTTCATAACATGCTCCACAAGTTGCACCATCTAAATAAAGTGTTGTGCTAAGAGCTGTTGTTTGTAGTCCATATCCTTGCGTTAATGTGCTATAACCACAAGCACCCTCTGCATAGTACCAACAACCAAACAATTATGTTAGGAAAAGAGATTATGCACGTACAAATTTTAAAAATCTATCAAAATATGTGATATCGAATTATGGATCATAAACAAGATTATGACATAATTTAATCGAACTACTAATTAATAATTTCCTCAGATCGATATTTAAATCAAGTAAAACTTCCCTTGTATATATGGATAGGAGACTCGACATTCCTCAATTTTTACAAAAAATTAAATTATACTTTGTATTTGTTAATTTTTTTGAAATAGTTAGGTTAAACAAAAATTATAGTTCCGGTCGTTTAGTTTAAATGAAATTTTAGTCCCCTAATATAATTTAAGGGTTCCACCCTTGTCTTGTTCTTCAAATGAAAAATCAAGATTACTAAAACAAGATCTCAATGAAACTTCATTAGCATTATAACAAAGTGACATCAAATGCATGCTAGCTTTTGATTCAATGATTTGTCAAACTAGGTCAATTTTATATGTATGTATAATTTTTTGTAAGAAATTAAAGGGTGAAAATATATAAAATGTATTTTACAACAAATATATACGCAGTACAAAGTAATATTTTAATTTATAGAAAACTCACTCTCAGTATCACCACCCTTAGCATCACCATAGAACGTTGCATGAGCATCGGTCCAATCTTGACAATGTACCATGGTAACTAAGGCCATGATAGCAAGAAATCCGAAAGCATTTTGAGAAAAAGATATTTTCTTTGATATCAATTTTCTTTTGAATGAGATTGTAATATCAACTTGTATTTTATACATGAGGAAGTGAGTGATATTTATAGCAACACAATAATATTAAAATAACATTTGATTGTGCAAAAATTTTAAATTGGCATTAAATTAAATCATGGTCAAACTCATAGAGCATATATTTATGGTAGAAAATAGAATGTGTGAAATGTAATAGAAAATTAATTGGACACAAGGAATATGCATGGATTTGTTACCATAAATATATGATGTAACTCTATATTTGCTTGATTTTCATTGGTAAAAGATGGATTTTATTTTTCTTTCTTCTTTGTCCCATTGCCTTTTTGCATGTGTACACAATTAATCAATTTCAACTGCATATTACTTACTATTGGTAAAGATGGATTTTATTTTATTTTTCTTGTTTTCCTCATTTTATTTTATTTCATTTTATATATAAACTCTTAAATAGACCTATTCATATTAATTTATTGTGGAACACTAAGGCCCTGTTCTCTTCACCTTAAAAAAATAATATTAAGTAAAAATAATTTCAGTTCAATAAAAATAAGTTCTGTTCAGTAAAATTAATTTTAGTTCAGTAAAAATAATTTCAATTCAGTTCAGTAAAACTCAGTTTTCTTAAAGAAGAATTATAATAGAAAATCAGTAAAAATAATTTCAGTTCAGTAAAAATAATTGAAGTTCGGTAAAAATAATTTCATTTCAGTAAAAATAAGTTCAGTTCAGTAAAAATAATTTCAGTTCAACAAAACTAAGGTGAATCAAACAGGGCCTTATATTAGAGATACTACGATTGTTGGTATTCATAAACAAAAAGATCACTATTTTAAAGTAGATGTTATATATTATGCTAAAATAAAAGTCATTGTGTTATTATAAAGGTCATAAGAGGGTTTTTTTTAATGAAAGTTTTAATAATATACGATTTAAGGTATTGTACTATTGTGTTAAAATTAAAGTCACTACATTCAACATAACGGCAGCCGCATGCATACTTTAGGTTCACATTAATATTAAATTTAATAATTTTTTTTTGGGAAATTCTTTGTGGTAACACTATAGTTTTTAGTTTTCTCAGTGGTAAATTGCAAAAATTCTTATTATCTCTAATAAACCTAAATTTTTATATTGAGCTAACCATGACATTAATGATTAATTCTAGTGAAGTATTTAACTATAGTTAGTTAATTCATTTTTTTATTATCATTTTTTTACTTAAAAAAAATAAACAAAAGCCACCCATTCCCCCACCAACCAGCCACCATTCTCCGCCCCCACCCACGCCGGCACCCAGCCTCTCTCTTGCTAGCGCACCGATCTCCCCCTCCCCCTCCCCCTAAGCCGACAGCAGCCAAGATCGCAACCATACCACAACATCAATCAGCCAACCACCTTCCCTTCCCTCAATTCCGACCTTCACTTTCATCGCCGGCATCTTTTTTTCAATCAATTTGCTTCCAATTGGACCTTTTCTCTCTTCGTCGAGATTTGATGGGTGGTTTATTTGTTGTCGTTCTTCCAAATTGGGATTTGCAAGAGAGAAATTGGGGATTTTTTTAGGGTTAGGGTTACAGGTGAGAAATCGTGAGTTGGATTTTGAGAATTTTGGAATTGGGGAATCGAGGAAAGGAAGTTCGACAAAGGAATCGGGAATTGAGTTAGAGAATTGGGAATCCGGAATCGAGAATTGAGAAATCGGAAATTTGGATAGAGAAATTGGGAATCAATGTCAGGCGGGGGGGTTGCAGATTTCGGGGGTGGGGGATGAGCAGTTGGAGGATTTTGTGGGTGGGGGAACGGTTTCTTGTGTTTTCGGGGAAGGGGAGTAGGTGTGGGATGGTCGTCGGCATCAAGAAAGGAGTTTGGGTGCCGACAATGAGGTGAGGTGGCGCCGACGGGGGAGGGAGCTAGGGCCGGCAGGGGCACCAGGTTGGTTTTTTTTATATATAAAATTAATTTAATTATTTAAAAAATATTAAAACTAACCATGGTTAATAAATTTAAATTAAAATAAGTATTATCTTTGGTAATAAAAAATTCAGGTTACTAGAGATAATAAGAATTTTTGCAATTTACCACTGAGAAAACTAAAAACTATAGTGTTACCAAAGAAAATTTCCCTTTTTTTTTTACAGGATATTAAATTTAATATTAATTTTTAAAGGTCGCACAAGTTTTGACAAAGGTCACTATGTTAAAATTAGGGTCACTATATTCAACATAACGTCATTGTTGCGCGCGTACGAACCGCAAGTCCCAATAATATTATTGTGAACTAGGTCAACACAAGTTTTCTCCATTTTATATAACTTACTATTCATGTGCTCAAATTAAAAAAAACTTTGATTGTCCTAAATTACCTATATAATATGCTTGCTCCCTTTGTTCTTTTTAAGTATCTTAATTTAATCGGCATAGTTGTCAAGACAGAATTTGACTAATGATATCGCCATTTATCAATATATGTGTATATAAATTATAAGATATTCAAAATAATAAGTTTAGACCACGTTTTTAGCTAACAAGTACATATATCATATATGGCTATATTTAATCTTACTTAAAGTGTTATATGTGAGCAGTACAAAAGTCAAATGTGGCGCTTAATCATCATGTATGATCTTCTAAAAATCGTTTCAATGTGTGGTATTGAAAGAGTATGCAATTTTCATAATTTACGTACACTATTATTTAACATAAAATTATAATTGATCAAACAGATGTGTTGAAGATCGAGCAAAATGCATGTGTATAATATAAAAAAGGGAGATATTATACAATATTATCCGTATTTGATAATTTAAAATAATTACACATATTATATACAATTACTTTCTTATACTTTTTATATACTACATTATACGACTTCAACGATTACTAACTTGATTTTTAAACATGTAAACAATGTTTTTTAAAAAAAAAAAATGATATTTCAAAAGTATACACCGAGACGGATCTAATACAAACATATTGAAAAGTTAGATGTCACGAATCGTCTCTCTTTGGGTGTCAAATGGGCATGTGGGCATCATTGCATATGGGGTGCTCTTGGACTACTAGGAACTATAGTGTCCCTAGAGAACCTTATTGTGGATATTTCTTTTATTCCCAATTAACACTCATTTGACGATTTGCAGGTTACTAAGGCCCCGTTCATTAGAGCTGCTCTGCTCTGCTTTGTTTTGCTCTGCTCTGCTCTGCTTTGCTTTGCTCTGCTCTGCTAAAATCAAATCTGCTCTGCTCTGTTCAAAAAAATCTTCTCTGCTCGGCTCTGCTATGCTCTTCTTAATTTTCAAATAATAATTAATAATAACAAAAATATTAATTAATATTCAATAATAACAATTATTATTGTATTGATGATAATAATTTATTATTTTGAATAATTATAATAATTATTAATATTAAAAAATAATTTTAATAATCAATAATAATAATTATAATGATTTTAATAATTAATAATACTAATAATAATATTAATAATTAATAATAATAATAATAATTAATAATTTTGATAATTAATAATAATAATAATAATTTTAATAATTAATAATAATAATAATTATTATTATTATTATTATTATTATTATTAATTTTAATAATTATTAATGATAATAATAATAATAAGTATTATTAATAATAATAATTATTATTATTATTATTATTATTAATTTTAATAATAATTAATAATAATAATAATAATTTTAATGTTATGATAATATCTAAATATGGATGACTATTATCCCATGTACAATCTAGAATATTCTAGAGTTGGGTATTTGGTCTTATCCATTGATGGAACCCTAGGTAATGTACATTATATATATCCCGTACTAGATGGAATATGAAATAGAACGTAACAATCTTCCCTCATCTCTCTTTATTTTCTATTCTATATTTAACACGTTATCAACACCATTGTTTTAGTTACGGAGGAAACATTATTGCTAGCCGGCTTGTTGCACCAACCTCAATTTGCCGAATCGCAAAATATACGTACACTTCATCCAATTGAGGTGAGTGTAATTACCTCCACCTCCACTTTGTATAGATTAAAATTATATTCCAATATATAGATTGTTTTGAACTAGATAAGACTTGGTTGATTACAATCATGAAAGTTTTGGTCTTTTGTTTGTTAATGCCGAATTACCAAATTGCATATTTTTATTGTTTTATTTTCTTAAGTCCATATATATGCAAGTGTAATCATGTCTCATATTCTTATGGATCTATAAGCATCTCTATTCGTATTCTCTGTGTTTATAATTAAGAAATTTGTAAATTATCACGTTTTGTTTATGAGTAGTACACCATATACATATATATATATATATATATATATATATATATATATATATATATATATATATATATATATATATATATATATATCATGATTGTTATTAAATTAATTTATTTTCATGGCTTATTTTAGTTCTGAAACATTAATTTTATTTTGCCAATACATTTGGTATGTATATGTTTGATATTTTATGAGATCTAATTTTGAACAATTTTTTGTATAGTGAAAATGTCGAATCTTGCCAATCTTGAATTTGTGGCCCTTGATATTACCGGAAAGAATTATTTATCATGGGTGTTAGATGCTGAAATACACTTAGATGCTAAAGGGCTTGGTGAAACAATCAAAGAGGCTAATGAGGCAACACCTCAAGATAAGGCTAAGGCCATGATATTCCTTCGCCATCACCTCCATGAAGGACTCAAAAACGAATATTTAACTGTGAAAGACCCACAAATCCTTTGGAGTAATCTAAAGGAAAGGTATGACCACCAAAAAACAGTGATACTCCCTAGAGCTCGTTATGAATGGTTGAATTTGAGATTGCAAGATTTTAAATCTGTTAGTGAATATAACTCAGCTATGTTTAAAATAACTTCTCAATTGAAATTATGTGGAGAAAATATTACTGATGCAGAAATGCTTGAAAAGACATACTCCACTTTCCATGCTAATAATATTGTCCTACAGACACAATATAGAGAAAAAGGTTTTAAAAAATATTCTGAATTAATATCTTGTCTTCTTGTGGCTGAGCAAAATAACGAGCTGTTAATGAAAAATCATGAATCACGTCCTACTGGCTCTACTCCATTCCCTGAAGCAAATGTGACAGCCCATAATGGGAAAGAAACTAAAAACAGAGACCATTCCAGCAGTAGTGGTCGAGGTAGAGGTCGTGGTCGTGGTCGTGGCCAATGGCGCGGCCGGGGTCGTGGACGTGGATATGGTAGAGGTCGTGGAGGTCCTTTCACAAACTCACAATCCCACCAGAAGTGGGAACGTAGGGATGAAAAAGAGAAAAGTGATAACAATATATGTTACCGTTGTGGAGGAAAAGGTCATTGGTCTCGGGTTTGTAGAACTCCAAAGCATGCAAACCTTGTTCTTGAAGATGGTGAAGGTGATTTTGATTTTGGTAATGCCAATCAATTTGATGTTGGTGATTTCCTTACTTCCCCGGAAGGGAATAATTTTGATTTTGGCAGTACAACACATTTAGAAGTTGTCGATTTCTTCACTGCCCCAGAAGGGAATAATTAAAATTATATTGTTTTATGTCAGTATTAGACTCATGTTTGCTTATTCTAGTGATTTATTTAAGTTTATTTCTTTCATTGTAATAAGGATTTTTGCTTTATAAATTTAAGAACTATTTGAGTGTTTTTATTGATTTATGTATTTTATCATCTTTATTTTTTTGCTTAATATTTTGACATGTATTTTATTTCATGAAGAAGATGGATATAACTCAAGTTCGATTTGCTAATGGTGAAGAATTATGTCTTGCTGACAGTGCAACTACTCATACAATACTTAAAAATAAAAAATATTTCTCTCATTTGATGATGAAAAGAACTAATGTGAGTACCATATCGGGTAGTACAAATATCATTGAGGGCTCCAGAAGAGCCACTATAAAGTTGCCTTGGGGAACTGAAATTAAAATAATTGATGCTTTATACTCCCCATTGTCTCAAAGAAATTTATTAAGTTGTAAGGATATTCGCAACAATGGTTATCATATTGAGACAATCAATAAAAAAATAATGAATTCCTTCAAATCACAAATATAACTCAAGGCTCAAAACATGTTTTGGAGAAACTACCTACATTCTCTAGTGGTTTGTACTACACAAAAATCAATGCTATTGAAGCTCATGCTATAGTAAACCAGAAGTATACTGATGATTTTGTTGTTTGGCATGACCGGTTAGGCCATCCCGGTTCAATAATGATACGAAAAATAATTACGAATTCATGTGGACATTCTTTGAAGAGCCAGCAGATTCTTCATAATAATTTTTCATGTGCTGCTTGCTCAGAAGGCAAGTTGATTATTCGCCCATCACCAGCTAAAATTAATTTTGAATCAATTAGTTTTCTAGAACGTATACAAGGAGACATATGTGGGCCCATACATCCCCCATGTGGACCATTTAGATATTTTATGGTTTTAATTGATGCATCAACTAGATGGTCACATGTGTCTTTGTTATCGACTCGTAACCTGGCGTTTGCGAGATTACTTGCCCAATTGATTAAGTTACGGGCACATTTTCCGGATACTCCCATTAAGACTATTCGGCTTGACAATGCTGGTGAATTTACATCTCAAGCTTTTAATGATTATTGCATGTCCATTGGGATAAATGTTGAACATCCTGTAGCACATGTTCATACACAAAACGGTCTAGCAGAGTCATTAATAAAACGTATTCAGTTGATTGCTAGACCATTGCTTATGAAATCCAATCTCCCAATTTCTTCTTGGGGACATGCTATATTACATGCAACAGCACTAATTCGTATTAGGCCAACAAGTTATCACAAGTTCTCCCCATTACAATTGGTTTATGGTCAGGAACCAAATATTTCCCATCTAAGAATTTTTGGATGTGCGGTTTATGTTCCAATAGCTCCACCACAACGCACTAAGATAGGTCCTCAAAGGAGGTTGGGGATATATGTTGGGTTTGAATCCCCGTCAATAATTAAATATCTTGATCCTACAACAGGGGATTTATTTACGGCTCGTTTTGCAAATTGTCATTTTAACGAGTCACTTTTCCCAACATTAGGGGGAGAAAAGAGAGAGCTGGAAAATGAAATTAAATGGAATGAATTATCATTATCCTATCTTGATCCTCGAACTAAACAATGTGAACTGGAAGTTCAAAAGATAATTCATTTACAAAGTTTAGCGAATCAATTGCCAGACTCGTTTGCTGACCCAAAAAGAGTGACCAAGTCACATATTCCAGCTGTTAATGCTCCATTTAAAATAGAATGTCCCAGAAGGACAAAATAAAATTGCTAATGAGTCTAAACCACGCCGGAAACGTGGAAGGCCAATAGGTTCCAAAGATAAGAATCCTCGGAAAAGAAAAGGAGCATTGATTGATGATGGTCAAATTGAAGAAACAATTTCCGAAGGATCTCAAGAAGAGACTTTAGACATGATACAAGAAGAAATTCAGGTACCTGATAATGAAGAAATTTCAATAAATTATATCATGTCTGGAATTACATGGAATCGAAATCAAATCGACGTCGATGATGTTTTTGCATGCAATGTAGCATTAGATGTTATGGATAATAATGAGGATCATGAACCAAAATCCATTGAAGAATGTAGAGAAAGAAATGATTGGCCAAAATGGAAAGAAGCAATTGAAGCAGAATTAAAATCTCTTGGAAAAAGAGAAGTATTTGGACCAGTAGTCCGTACACCTGAAGGTGTAAAGCCAGTGGGATATAAATGGGTCTTTGTGCGAAAGAGAAATGAAAAAGGTGAAGTTGTAAGATATAAGGCACGCTTAGTTGCACAAGGATTCTCACAAAGACCTGGTATTAATTATGAGGAGACATATTCTCCTGTGGTGGATGCAACTACTTTTAGATTTTTGATTAGTCTGGCAATAAGAGAAGGACTTGACTTACGTTTGATGGATGTAGTCACAGCTTATTTATATGGCCCATTGGATAATGACATTTACATGAAGATCCCAGAAGGATTCAAGCTGCCGGAAGCAGCAAAATCTAGTTCTCGAGAACATTTCTGTATTAAATTAAACAAGTGAGTATTTGTTGAAAGAAGGTTATAAGAATGATCCTATCAGCCCATGTATTTTTATAAAGAAATTTGGATCAGGATTTGTTATAATTGCAGTGTATGTTGATGATTTAAATATCATTGGTACTCCTGAAGAGATTTTAGTGACTGTCAATTATTTAAAGAAAGAGTTTGAAATGAAAGATCTAGGAAAGACAAAATTCTGCTTGGGGTTACAAATAGAGCACCTAGAGAATGGAATCCTTGTGCATCAATCAACATACATAGAAAAGGTTCTTAAAAGATTTTCTTTGGATACAGCACATCCATTGAGCAGCCCTATGGTTGTAAGATCACTTGAAGTAGAGAAAGATCCATTCCGACCTCGGGAAAATGATGAAGAAATTCTTGGTCCTGAAGTATCGTATCTTAGTGCAATTGGAGAACTAATGTACCTTGCAAGTCATACACGACCTGATATATCATTTTCAGTTAATTTATTAGCAAGGTTTAGTTCATGTCCAACCCGAAGGCATTGGAATGGGATTAAACATTTACTTCGTTACCTTCAAGGTACGAAGGATATGGGTTTATTTTTCCCAAAATTGTCCAAAGAAAATTTGATTGGTTTTGCAGATGCAGGTTATTTATCTGATCCTCATAATGGTCGGTCACAAACTGGATATGTGTTCACATATGGTGGTACTGTCATTTCTTGGCGTTCCATGAAACAAACCATTGCAGCTACTTCTTCCAATCATTCTGAGATTTTAGCAATTCACGAGGCTCGTCGTGAATGTGTATGGTTAAGGTCGGTAGTTCAACATATAATTGTGGTTTATCATCTGGGAAAGAGGCACCAACAACTTTATATGAGGATAACGCTGCTTGTATTGCTCAACTTAAGGAAGGATACATCAAAGGCGACAGAACAAAGCACATCTTACCCAAATTTTTCTTCACTCATGATCTTCAGAAGAATGGAGATATAAATGTATTGCAGATTCGTTCAAGTGAGAATTTAGAAGACTTATTTACTAAGGCTCTTCCAACAGCAACATTCAAAAAGTTAGCTTACGGCATTGGATTGCGTCGTCTTAAAGATCTCAAGTGATGTAGTCATGAGGGGGAGTTAATGCGCGCTACACTCTTTTTTCCTTAACCATGGTTTTTCCCACTGGGTTTTCCTGGTAAGGTTTTTAATGAGGCAGCATATTATGCGCATTATAGTGTATTATTTTGTACGGGTTTTGTAGTAAATGTTAGTTATTGTTTTATTCATTATATAGTCATCCAAGGGGGAGTGTTATGATAATATCTAAATATGGATGACTATTATCCCATGTACAATCTAGAATATTCTAGAGTTGGGTATTTGGTCTTATCCATTGATGGAACCATAGGTAATGTACATTATATATATCTCGTACTAGATGGAATATGAAATAGAACGTAACAATCTTCCCTCATCTCTCTTTATTTTCTATTCTATATTTAACATTTAATAATTAATAATAATAATAATAATAATAATAATAATAATAATTTTAATAATTATTAATGATAATAATAATAATAATTATTATTATTAATTAATAATAATAATAATTTTAATAATTATTATTAAAAATAATTATTATCATTAATTATAATAATAATTAATAATAATAGCAACAACATTAATAATAATAACATTAATAATAGTATTAATAATAATGTTGAAATCTGCTCTGCTCGGCTATCCTAAAATCTGCTCTTCTCTGCTGAAATATAATCTGCTCTGCTAACCCCTGCTCTTCTCTACCCAGAAGCTCAAAAGAACAGGGCCTAAGTTACGTCTAAAAATTTTGTAATGCTTTTAGAATTTACGCTTAGCTCAAAAGGTAAAGTGTTCGTTTATGTGGCCAAGATCTCTTGAAAACGAGCTAGGTTTTAGGTTTTATCTATATTTCTTCTTGTAATCCTGTTTTGTAAGATCAAATGAAGCTCGCTACAAATTTAATTACGGAGTATATCATATACTAGTTTGGTTCCTAGTGCGACATCCGAATTGTTTTTTGAATTTTAAGATTTTTTTTAATCTATGTACCAAGTTTTTAAAATGTATCATTGATACAAAATTAGTAAGAAATTAATATGGTTTTATAACAAATCTTGATTCGTACCCTGAAGTGACTTGACGCGAAATAACCCATGATTCGACTCGATTGACAGATTTACATACAATAATAAAATCATATTAGATTGTGAAGTATTTTATTTAAATCGATTACAGTATACTATAAATAGATGTGGCACAATTTGAACTACTTTCTTCGCTCCAAAAACAAATTATGATATAAAAATAAATTTATATGATAAAATATTTAATTATTGTTTACGTGGCACGATTTTGGTGAAAAGTTGAAACGCTAAGGGTCACCCTCTCGTGGTTTGGCTAAACTTATAAGTAATGTTGTATTTGTGAAATATTGGTATTTTAGCCGAAATAAAACTCTTAACCAACAATTTTATCTTATAAATCTATCCAAAATTTATTGAAAATAAAACTCTCGACTAACTTTTTTTTCTACCCTACCAAAATTTATTCTAGTTTTTATCCTATTAAAAAAAATACTATCTTTTTTATTAATGAAAATATATCTAAATAAATCCTACGTTTCATACTAATAACTAATTATTGCCTATGTGGCGTGACACTTGGCGAAAAGTCATTGTCATGGCTTGACTAAAAGTTTAACTTTATATATTAGTTATATGATTACTCAACATAAATAACGTATACGAGTATTATGTCTAGTTTATTATTTGAAGTCTCCTTTCACTTA